GAGACCCAGCGTGCGCTGAACTGAGCCCACCCTTTAATCCTGAGGTTCATCTGCCGGGGCCAAGCAAACTTGGACAGTGGCAGTGAGGTCCCCAGGACGTAGGTTTGTTTAGAGTGACCTTCTCTTAGATGGATTGCCTTACAAGGCTGATGAGCTCCATCTGCCCTGGGGGCTGGGAATCGAACCCTAACCACTAGACCACCAGAGGCCCCTATTGGGCTACTAATTGGGATATATATATATCTATATATATATTTTATTTTGGTTTTGTTCCTTTTCCCTTCCCCCTCCCCTTTCCCTTGCGAAATTGTATACACCTTGTGAAATCGTATATATTTCAATTGTATATAACCGTAACATAGCTGTAAATATATTTATATATATATCACTTTAGCTGTCTCTCTCTCTCTCGTTTTGGGTTTTCTTAGTTGTTTTTCTCCCTCTTCTCCCTGAGGTTTGGTGGGGGGGGGGGGACGGGACAGGGACAGGAGACTTCTTGTGGTAAGGTCTGGAGACTTGGCACGGAGCCAGCTTCGAACCACATCAGCTCGTCTGCCTGAAAAGTGCGAGCCAGGGTCTTTGTGGCACATCCTTCCCAAAAAAAGAAAGTTTGAGTTGGGCGGGCTGACTGCTGGCTGACGTGGGGTCACTGAGAGACAAGAGCTGAGTGGGCCAGGGTGCCTGGGATCACCGGGGTGACCAGGATCACCAGGGTGCCTGGGATCACCGGGGTGACCAGGGTGACCAGGATCACCAGGGTGACCGGGATCCGGTTCCGCCTCCGCGCCGGGGGAAGCGTCCGCTTCCCCCGGCGCGGAGGCGGAGCCGGATCCCGGATCCCGAGCCCGCATCCCGCGCTCGCCCCCTCGGGGCAGGAGGATCGGCGGAGCGCACATGGCGCTGTACAGCGCGGCCGCCGCGGTGCTGGACGGGCTGGAGCGCGGCCAGGGCGGCCTCAAGAGCCTCGTGTACAACAGCGGCTTCCCGGTGCGCCCGGAGGGGGAAGGGAGGGACGGGGAGACCCGGGAAGAGAGGGGTGGTGGTGGTGTCGGACCCGGGGGTGTGGGGGAGCCCCGGGGTGTGCGGCGATGCTGAGCCCTGCCCGCCCCGCAGCACGTCCGGCAGCTGTACGCGCTGGTGTCCGAGACCCTCCGCTACGCGCCGGTGCTCGAGAAGCTGCTGGATGGAGCCGCGCTGCTGCAGGCCGAGAAGAAGCTGCCCCCGCAGCTGGCCAAGGTACGGGGGGGGCGAGGTGTCCCCGGAGCCGTGGGGTCCCGGGGCTGGGATGTCTCCAACCCGAGGGGTCCCGGGGCTGGGATGTCCCGAACTCGTGGGGTCCCGGGGCTGGGATGTCCCAAACCCTTGGGGTCCTGGGGCTGGGATGTCCCGAACCCGTGGGGTCCCGGGGCTGGGATGTCTCCAACCCGAGGGGTCCCGGGGCTGGGACGTCCCGAACCTGTGAGGTCCCGGGGCTGGGATGTCCCGAACCCGAGGAGTCCGTGGGCTGGAATATCTCCAACCCGAGGGGTCCCGGGGCTGGGATGTCCTGGAGCTGAGATGTAGCAGAGCCAGGATGTCCCTGGAGCTGTGGGGTCCCTGGAGCCATGCGGTCCCTGGGGCTGTGATGTCCCGGGGCTGGGATGTCTCCAACCCGAGGGGTCCCGGGGCTGGGATGTCCCGAACTCGTGGGGTCCCGGGGCTGGGATGTCCCAAACCCTTGGGGTCCCGGGGCTGGGATGTCCCGAACTCGTGGGGTCCCGGGGCTGGGATGTCTCCAACCCGAGGGGTCCGGGGGCTGGGATGTCCTGGAGCCGGGATGTAGCAGAGCCAGGATGTCCCTGGAGCTGTGGGGTCCCTGGAGCCATGCAGTCCCTGGGGCTGTGGTGTCCCGGGGCTGGGATGTCCTGGAGCCGAGATATACCAGAGCCAGGATGTCCCTGGAGCCATGCAGTCCCTGGGGCTGTGATGTCTTGGAGCCGGGATGTCCCTGGAGCTGTGGTGTCCCAGAGCCGAGCTGTCCCTGGGGCCGTGGTGTCCCTGAGGCCCTGGTGTCCCGGCTCACCCCGTGCCCTCCCCGCAGGTGCTGGTGTATGACCTGCTCTTCGGCAAAGGGCTCAAGTGCGGGGGCCGCTGGAAGGCGCTGGCCCGGCGGCACCGGGCGCGGCTGGAGGCCGAGCTGGCCCGGCTGAAGGTGCGGCACAAGGTGAGCCGCAACGAGGACCTGCTGGCCCCGGAGCAGGCGAGTCCCGCAGGTGAGAGGGCTCAGGGCTGGGTGGGCACCATGTGCTGGGAGCTGTGGGGGGCTGTGTCTGACCCGCCTGGCCCCCGCAGCCTCCCAGGTCCCGCGCTACGTCCGGGTCAACACCCTGAAGACTTGTGTGGACGATGTGATCGACTTCTTCAAGCGCCAGGGATACTCCTACCTGGGCAAGGCAGCCAGGTGAGGGTTTCTTCCTGCTGTCCCACCTTACCTGGGGTGTCAGCAAGCAGCAGGGGCTTGGGATGAGGTCTGGAGGGTTGAAGGGTTGCTGGTCTTGGTGCTCAGGGTGGCTGGGTCGAGGTTTCCATCACCCCACACTCTTAGTTTCTGCCTCTCTGGGTGCTGCCTGGAGCTGGGGAGGAACTGTGGGATGAGAGGGATTCTCAGCCTGGGCTCTGGAGGGCTCTGCCATGGCCACAGTGAGCCAGGACTATGTGTATTCATCCTCCACATGTCTCATGGGCAGCTTGGAGGAGCTGAGGGCCCTCTCCGGAAAGAAGTTCTTGTTGGATCCTCATCTCCCAGAGCTGCTGGTTTTCCCTCCGCAGACAGACCTCCACGACAACCTGCTGTATACTTCAGGACACATCATTCTGCAGGACAAGGTGGAGGAACTGGGGAGCAGGAGGATGCAGGGATGGGAAAACCGTTGATGGGGTGGAGGGTCAGGTCCTTCCACGAGGGCTGGGCTTTGCTGCAGCACTTAGGTCTAAGCAGAAACTGTGGATGCAGCCTTCCCTGAGGCTTTGCTTCCATAGCCTGTAGGTTTGGGATGAATTCCTGGGCTATAAAACCCTCCATGGGAGCTGGGGGACCAGCAGCTGGGAGGAGCACGGGGCTGTGGACTGGGTAAAACTTCCAGTGGAGGGTTGTGGTGGCCTTGGCCCTGTGTCACTGTGGTCCCTGTGACCACACAGTGCCAGCTGTGCCCTGAGGAGGGGTTGGGGTGCTGCTGCCCACCCCTCTCACAGGCTTGTCCTTCTTGCAGGCCAGCTGCCTCCCTGCCTTCCTCCTCAGCCCTACTGCTGGTTCCCACGTCATCGATGCCTGTGCTGCCCCTGGGAACAAAACCAGCCACCTGGCTGCCATCCTGAGGAACAAGGGGTGAGGGCAGGTTTGTAGGGGGGGTGGAAGGAGAAGGAAAGGTGGCCGTGGTCCCCACAAGCCCATAGAGAGCACAAGAAGGTGGCAGAGGCTGTCACCCTGCCCCAAAAACTCAGGTGAGCTGGTGGCTCTGACAGCACTGGGCCACTGGAACACCTGAGGGGAGGTGAATCACGTCGGGGTTCACTCCCAGCCCCTGACCACGGATCTGCTCCATACCCCTGCGGGGTGAGGGCAGCTCCCAGGCTGTGCCTGCCTGGTGTCTGGGGGTTCCTGGGGCCGGGTGGGGTGTTCATGCCTGTCTTGGGCACTGTGCTCTGCCTTCAGCCAGATCTTTGCCTTTGACGTGGACCCCAAGCGTGTGGCCACCATGAACACGCTGCTGGCACGGGCAGGGGTCACTGGCTGCCAGCTGGCCCAGCAGGACTTCCTGGCCGTGGACCCTGGAGACCCCAAGTACAGCAGGGTGACCCATATCCTGCTCGACCCATCCTGCAGCGGCTCAGGTAACACAGGGGGCTCTGGCTGCTCCTGAGTAGCCGGGTTGGGGGTGTGCAGACCCCCGGTGACAGCTCCTGTCCTGCAGGGATGGTGACCCGGGGGCCAGGGGAGGAGGTGGCCCCGAGTGCTGAGCGGCTGCAGGCGCTGGCCGGGTTCCAGCGGCGGGTCCTGGGCCACGCCCTGAGCTTCCCGGCCCTCCGGCGCCTGGTCTACTCCACCTGCTCCCTGCACCGCGAGGAGAACGAGGACGTGGTGCAGGCTGTGCTGCAGGAGCGGGGCTCAGCCTTCAGGTGGGTCTGCCTGGGGGGCTCAGGGGGCTGTAGGGCAGGGTTTGGTGCTGACCCTCATTCCAATCCGCAGGCTGGTGACCGCCTTCCCATCCTGGCCCTGCCGAGGACTCGCTGCCTTCCCTGGAGCCGAGAGCTGCCTCCGAGCGTCCCCGGCAGAGACCCTCACCCAGGGCTTCTTTGTGGCTGTGCTGGAGCGGTGCGAGGAAGGGGCTGATGCCCCCAGGTGAGAGGGCTCTGAGGGGCTCCAGCTGCTTCTGGGGGGCACCACGGCCAAGGCCAGGGTTGCTGGGCACCCAGGGGAGGGTGTGAGGGGAGGTGGAGGGGTCTGGGTGGGTGCAGGAGCAGGAGGCAGGAGCTGGGGCACTGGTGGGTTGGCTCAGGATGTTTGCTCTTGTCTGCAGCTCCCTGCCTGTGGCAGCTGAGGAGAAGCCACAGCCCAGAGAGGAAACGGAGCCAGGAGCAGCTCCCAGGAAGAGGAAAAGGAAAAAGCAGCGGGTGAAAGAGTGAAACAGTTTTTTGGACTGCCCCCTGCCCAGCTGGGGCTGCAGGGAACACTCCTACTGCCTGGGCACAAGTCAGGCTTTGTGCCAGCTGCAGCTGCGGTGGGAAGTCTGTAACCCCTGCACTGAGTGCCAGCCCTGGGGTCACCTCAGTACCAGGGAGGGGGAACTGGTCACCCAGGGCTGCCCCTTGCAGCCAACCCCCCTCAGGTTTGCCCCCAAGGCAACCTCCACTCTGCACCCTGCAGGGCTGGGGTGCTGCAGCTCAATGAAAGGGGTTGTTTTATCATGTCCCCCCCCCAAAAAAAAGTCCTGACCCCAGCCTGATGTGGAGCTTCAAAAAAGCTTTTAACTGTAGAAATGAAGCAGAATAAAGTTTCTCTACTGTCGTTTCCAGCTTGTTTGTGCAGTCCTGCCCTGCTCATAGTGGAGGCAAAGCAGGAAGGGAAAAAGTGAATTAATAATAATGATAATCCTGTCCCTGCACCTGCCTTTGACCAGGGGGAGCAAGGACACACGAGCCAGTGTGCTGGAAGTGGCACCTGAACCCCACCAGCCCCACATGTCCCTGCCCAGCCCCAGGAATCGCACACGTGTGAACACAGTCGTTTTATTTTAAACCAGGGACAGAAGAAGCAAGGAAACAAAAATTGCACATTCACACTAAAATCCTCATCAGCCACACCAGGAATGATCCAAGTCTTGAGTCAGTTAAAACCCAGCCTCTCCCCAGGCACAGGGGGCTCTCCCAGCAGGGGCTGTGTGGCAGGGAAGGGACAGCCTGGCACCTCACAGGGCTGGGCGTGTGGGACTACACGGACCTTGTCCCTGCTCATTCCCATCTCCCTCTGGCACACAGGTCTTGCTGGAGCAGATCTGGCCAAACTCTGGCACCCCTGAGGATAGGGAGTGGGTGCTCTCCTGGCCCACCACCCTGCCTGGGGCAGAGGGAGGGATACCCAGGGTCAGTCTTGGTGGGCACTAATCCTGTCCCAGCCACTTCCTCAAACTCCAAGGATATGTTTTCTCAGCCTGGCTGCTCTCAGCCCACTGCACCCTCAGCTATGCTGGTGAAGGATGGCCAGAACCACCCCCACCAGCACCTGCAGGTCCTTTGTGTCCCCTCTGTGCCACACAGAGCCTGTCACCTGCCCTTCCTGCCCGGAGAGACACCTTGTCCCTGGCACTCAGCACCGTAACATGAGAGCTCCTGCTCCTCACCCTCAGAGAAATAATTAAAAAAAAGAGAGGAAAAAAAAAGAAAGAAAAGGTTTAGTCACATCCACATACATCACTTTTAAAAGGAAGGGGATGATGTACAGCAGGGGGAGCACGGCAGAGCCCACGGGATGCAGCTGCCTTTCCCAGCACAGCACATCTTGGTGGGCACAGCCGGGGTGGGAACAGCTAAGCACTAACAGCTGGCAACCTCACTGAACCAAGCTTGAAGGAATTTGAAGGCAATTTAGCTTAAATATAAAAATAAATTTTTATTTTGTTAAAAAACGTTTAAATATTTGTAATTTTTTTTTTGTCTTTTTTTCTTGCTTTTTTTTTTTAATTTAGACCTCAGCAGACACACACACTCACACGGCTCGGAGAGTAAAAACCTGGCAGCAGAGCACTCCTGGGAATGGGGTGCCCATCCCTTGCCCTGGGCAAGGCAGGAGGTGGCTCTTGGGTGACCCCCAGCTCTGGCAGTCTCTTCCCATGAAGCTCCCAGGCAGGGAAGGGTGGGATCCCCGCTCCTGGCTGGATGGGGACAGGGGAGGCAGCATTGCAGCTCCTCAGAGCTGGTAAAACCCAAAGGGAGGGGGATGAGCTAAAAATGAAAAGCACTTTGGACTTGGGAGGGGTGAGGAGAACCCATCCGCTCTGGAATCCTGGGAGTGGCTCCACATCTCCCCCTCCCAGGTGGGGAGGGGGCACCAGGAGTGAGAGGAAGGGAGGGGAGAGACTGCCAGGGTTGAAACCACCCCCCCCCCGGCCCAGCTGCCTTTCAGTCACGACATGGAAGGGACAACTCCCCAGCACGAGCAGCCACGCAGTGATGCTACTGTCAACACCCAATTAGCTGGGGCACGTCCCCCCCCCAGGGACCGGCGCCCCCCAAAAAAGAAACTCCAAACAGCAAATCCGGCATAACCAACATGCCGCCACACACACGGTTCAGCTCTTCCTCCAAACTCGATTCAGTGAGCGCACAACGGGAGCACGGATAAAGCAGACCAGGGGGAGCGGGGTGGGGGCAGCCCACAGCCCCACGGAGCAGCGGGGATGGGAGAGGGGTGGGGGGATCCCCATCCTCACCCCGTGCCTCCAGCACAGGCCCAGGGGTATGGTGTGTCCTTGGCTAGAGGTGACAAATTAGGTCACTCAGCTGCAGCCATGCTGGTCAGCCACGGCACCGGGGCAGCACCAGGCTGGCACCAACCCCAGTGGCAGGGATGGGACTGTGTTCACCAGGCCACGGGATGACAATGGGAAAGACTTTGGGACTGGTGAAGATGGGGTCCCTGGGCAGCCTGGAGCTGCAGCATGGCCCCAGTGGGGCTCTGAGCGGGACAAAGCCCCAGGGCTGGCTGAGGGCTGAGGGGGGGCACAGGAACAGCTGGAAGAAGCAAATGGGGAAAAATTTACACGTCATTAAACATGGCAAAATAAAGTGAGGGAAGGGACGTTGTGGATATGTACAGAGGGTTGTCCAGCCTTGGCTCTGAACTGTTCAAGTAACAAGAGTTTGGTTTATCCCATCCCAGCCACCCGGCACAGGCTCTGGTGAGTGGCAGGGATGGGGCCTGGTCCCACCACAGGGACAGCTCCAGCCTGGAGCCCCCCACACGTGGGCCAGAGGGGCCCAGCAGCACCGGGGTCACTTTTTGCGGGTGTGCTGCCTCCGTGCCTGCAGCCGCTGGCGAGCGCCCGTCTTGGATCCTGCCCCGATGGAGAAGGTGGGGGCGGACGAACCTGGAAGCAGAAAGGTGGCTCAGGGCCCTGCAGCCTTGGGGGCAGCATAATGCCCACCCTGGGAACAGTGTGATGCCCAACACGGGAACAGTGTGATGCCCGACACGGGAACAGTGTGATGCCTGGCATGGGAACAGCGTGATGCCCAACACAGGAACAGTGTGATGCCCACCCTGGGAGGAACAGGTTTGGTGTCCCTCAAGCCCAGCATGTACCACCTGAGCCAGCTCCCAGAACACATCTGGGAGCCCTGCTACTGTCCCCAGCCCGAGGAGACACCATGACCCACGAGCTCCCCAAGGCTGGAGCACCATCTCACTCCTTACCAAAGGATGAGCCGACTCCTCCAAAGCCTGAGGCAGGAGTGCTGGGTGTCCTGAAGGAAAGGGTGCTGCTTCCACTGCCCACAGCTCCTGGGACGGGTGCGTTCTGCCCAAAGGTGGGCGCAGGAGCTCCTGCAAATCACAGAATCAGCAACAGGTCACTGTGAGCTGGGGTTGGCAAAGGAAGAAGAGCCTTTGGGAGCCAGTGGCACCCACAGGACACACAGGACTCTGCAGGGGCTGAAGCTCCTGGCCTCTGCTCCCAAAAAGCCCTTTTAATGCCAAAGTTACACTCTCTGGGTAATCCCTGGGCTCTCCTGGCAGCGGGGCTGCACAGAAGGATTTGCCAGGGAGGAACAAAGGCCTCTGTCTTTCTACATCAAGCAGTTGCTCAGCGTGTGGGTTTTAGTTCTGGTGGTAGCTGGGATGGCCCAGTGAAGGTGTGAAATGTTAGGGAAACCCTGAAAGTGAGGACAAAGACATGGTAGTCACTGGCTGGCAACTTCTCTGCCTGCCAAGGAGCTCCAGGTGGCTGTTAGGGACTGGCACAACCTTGGCTCCTGCAGGACACCTGGCTGGGGGTAGAGCCAGGGAGCTGGTGCCTTCAGAAGGGCCGTGGAGAGTTTAAGGATTCCCCTCCACCACTGAGGGCTGAGGCTCTGGACAGGGAGGATTGGAAGTGCCTTCCCTTTGCACAGAGAGGCTCTGCACAGCAGGAGCACCGGCCTCTCCAGGACTGTGGAGCCTGGGAGCTTGGCAATGTCCATCAGGAATGCTGCTGCCCAACTCCAAACCCCCAACATGGCCTGCAGTGACAGGACAAGGAGTAATGGGTTCAAAGTGAAAGAGGGGACATACAGGTTACATAGTGAAAACATTCTTCCCTGTGAGGGTGGTGAGGCCCTGGCACAGGTTGCCCAGAGAAGCTGTAGCTGCCTTCCGTCCCTGGAAGTGTCCAAGGCCAGGTTGGACAGGGGTTGGAGCAACCTGGGCTAGTGGAAGGTGTCCCTGCCCATAGCAGGGGAGTGAAACATGATCTTTAAGGTCCCTTCCAACCCAAACCATTCCATGCTGACTCACCTCCGAAGGCGGGCTTGCTGTTGGAGGTGCTGGTCATGGTGAAGGCAAAGGGGGTGCTCTGGCCCGGTGCCCCCAGCGTGTTCTGCTGCAGGGAGGAGCCGAAGGGCGCTGCTGCCGGGGCCGTCCCGCTCTGCCCAGCCCCGAAGTTGAAGGCCACGGCCGGGGAGCCGCTGCTGAGGCCCGGCGCGTTCATCCCGAAGGCGCCGGCCGAGGGGCCCGGCTGGGTGGTGGCCCCGAAGGTGAACGGAGACGGGGTGGTGCCGAAGACGGTGCCACCGGCGCTGCTGCTCGTGGTCTGGGTGGTGGCACCGAAGCTGGATGTGGTGGAGGTGGCTGTCCCGAAGGAGAACACCGAGGTGGTGGTGCCGCCGAACGCTGCCTGGGTGCTGCTGGTGCCGAAGGAGCCCTGGGCGCTGGTCGTGCCAAAGGCTGTCTGGGCACCGCTGCCAAATGCTGGTTGAGCCGCCGACTGTGCCAGGGGGGCTCCGAAACTGAACGGGGGGGCGAAGCTGACGGGGCCGGCAGCGGGTTTGCTGGCAGACGCTTGGCTGTCGGCAGCCCCGGCGCTGAAGGCGCTCCCAGTGCCGGGGTACGGCGGTGGTGGCTTTGCACCGGCGCTGAAGGAGCTGCCAAAAGCTGAAACGGAGGAGCCGAATGTCAGCGGCGCTTGAGCTGTGGTGGCTGGGGCAGAGGAGGTCAGTGTGGTGCCCCCAAATATGCTAAAGCCCGCAGTGGTGGTGGCAGCAGCTGTGGAACTTGAAGGTGCCTGGCCAAAGGCAGGGCCTGCTGCGGCAGTGGTGGTGGCAGTGACCGTGGCCAGAGGTGGCTTCCCGAACTGGAACACGGGCCCTGGGGTGGCAAAGTTGGTTTCTGTGCTGGGAGCGGAGCTGGCCGGGGCCCCGAACAGGAAGGGCTGTGCCGCGCTGGTGGAGGTGGCAGCGGTGACGGTGACAGCCGAGCTGGCGGCAGGGCCCGTGGAGGCGGGCGGGGTCAGTCCGAAGCTGAAGACGGGTTTAATGGTG